TATATATATATATATATATATATATATATATATATGCTCTTTGTCGACTAACTGTAGCCTATTAACCGATTTTGCTTATCTCCTGCACCCTCTCCCCTTTCCGCTTGTTTGTTATCTTTGGTTTTCCTTCTCCCCTTTTCTCTTTTTAAATTAGTTTAAGCTAAGTATGGAGAAATAACTTTCAAAGCCCAAAGTCCAGCAGTCTTAATGTCATTTCAAGGTACCTCTTTCTGAAGGAGTTTCTCTGATTTTTGAGGTTCACTGGGACCATTTTATTCTTTTAAGCTCAGTTTAAGCCTGTATTGGATCAGTAGCACTGAGTGAGCTATTAGTCATGATTTTCACTGATACCCATTCACCGTACGCGTCAATTTGATGTCAAGTCAGCATATTTACTACCGAAACGGACAGTTTGCACTTACCCGTCCGGTATCGCCGGTTAATTTGCTTGGGTGAGACATTTGTGCGTTAGAAAAATGACGCTTATCTTCATATTTGAATTAAGTACTTACCCATTGTTGTAGAGCGGTATGCAACATGCACTTTTGATAACATACAGAGAGTTTTTTTATTTGCTTCTCAAAAAATTTTGGTTGCTAGCGGTTTAGTCTTTTGATTTTTTAAGCAGTGGTTTCTCGTGAAAAAATATCAATTGCCCATTAGATAGCTCTTCATTCCACGTGCTGGATGAAATCCCCTTTAGGTCTGTTAGAGTTGAAGCTTCTTTGGTGAACCCAACTGTGCCTATCCGCCATGTGATTTTACGATGCACCTCAAGATTTTGATGTGCATGCGCTAGCTGGCAATGAATTTTGCAGGAATACATACATTCCGTGGCGTTATTTTCAGTAATAACTTCAATGTGACGCCATCGGACTACGAAGATTATCACTTAAATGAGGCAAGTGATGGAATCGAAAGTCCGGGCACTATGCCAGAAATTGCACCAGGCGCTTGCCAGCAATATTTTGCGTTAGGTTCGGTGATCCCTGAAGGGACGATAACATTTATGTCGAAGCTGGTGTTCAAGACTTCATCGTTTAATAGTGTAAATTTTTGCTTTACTGTGCGTATTTTCTTCCACACAGTTTCGAATTCAAAATTTTGGTTTGAACATTTGGTAAATTTTGTTCCACTGTCTTGAATACTGCTTGATTAGATCTTTCTAATACTCATTATGAAACAAAAAAAGGAGCTAAAAAGTCGAAATTGGACTTGATAATCAAGCTGTTAATCAAATATGATTATCAGCTAAGCCGACTGTAGCATCCAGGATGACCTTGGAAGCATAAATGGGGAAGATGTGACAGAATTCGGAAAGAAAGAGCAGTATTAGAAGAGAAGGCCAGAGTGAGATAAGACGTTTCGGTCCATTAAGTCATATATACTGCGACTGGACCTTATCAGTATGACGGTCACAGTGCCTAATGAGGGGAAGAAAGTTCGAAAAGGAAGAGAGGGAAGGAAAGATGAAACTGAAATCATTGGGGACGCGCAACGGACGGGTCCGTGCAATCATGCGTTTTTGCAGTATCTCGTGCTGTTGTAAGATCGCTTGGAATCACAACAGCTAGAATCTATAACATACTGGTCCTCGAGCTTCAGAAAGTTAATCGTACAACTATCACATTTACTGAGAAAGGGAACATTGTGTTTAAATTTCAGCTTTCCAGCTTTACGGTTCCCGAGTTAGTGAATTTTCCTGCCAAAAACATTCACGGGGCCGTGCGTGGAAACCACGCATACCTAGGGGCTGAATTTGAAGTCTTTGAGATGAAAGCGTACGGGGAAATACTTTCAAAATTTTAGCCTCCCAGTTCTTCTGGTTCCCGAGTTATCGATTTTCCCCTCAAAACCTTACACGGGGCCATATTTGGGTAACACGCGTAGCGGGGGGCTGAATTTGAAATCTTTAAGTTATACTCTGGCTGGGAAAATTCCCTGAAAATTTCAGCCTCCCAGCTTTTCTGGTTCTCGAGTTAGCCATTTTCCGGCCAAAACTTTCACGTGGTCATACGCGGGGCCCAGACGTGCGTGAAGGTCGATAGTGCGGTTCTGGGATGATACTTGGTCGGAGAATTCGCTGGCAAAATTTTGCCTCCGGAGCTTGCGTGGTTGCCGAGTTGAAATATTCGGACAGACGCACACACACATGCCAACACACACACATACACACACACAAACATTAGCATATACGCACATCAGTGGTCGTCGCACAATGCGTTTTTATGCGCTGTAGTGCTGCATAGCAAAAACATAATAAATGGCCAACGCACGGGCTGGCCGTGCGAAGATGCGTTTTTTGCATAGTTTCCCGCAGTTTTTGTCGCTACCGGCACTGGTTTTTTGGCAAATGCTTCTAGCTAAACAAATTAAGATTGACCGCCAGAACTTTTATGAAGCACGGCCTTAAAATTTCAGCTTTCTAGCTTTCTTGGCTCCTGAGTTAGCAACTTACCCAGAAAAAACTTTGGCGGGCCAGTATTTGGGACTAACGCGTACCCGGAGTCCAGGTTTGAGCTCAGTGAGACTTAGGTGAACGGGAAATATCCTCTTAAAATTACTTTCCTTTAGCTTTTTAAATCCCCGAGTCATGAACTTACCCGGAAAAAGTTTTGGCGGGGCCCGTACTCGGGTACCACGCTTAACCGGTGGATAGGTTTGAGTAAATTAACACTTACTTGGACGGGAAGCATCCCCTTAAGACTTCAGCATTCTAGCTTCTCAGATCTCCGAGTTATGAACTTATCCGTAAAAAATTTGGCGACCTCTTACGTGGGTACCACGCGGGTAATGGCGCCCATTTTGGGGATGGGGCCCGTACGTGTATGTAGATTAAGTTCCCAAAGTTTCAGCCCTGCAGCTTTTATAGGTCTTGATATGAAAAATCGGGACAGACGCACACACACAGACAACCCCTCGTCAATGTGCGCTTTTGCATTGCACAGCTGCAAAAAAAGCATAAAAAAAGGGGGAAAAAATTATGATAGTGGGAATAGCAGTAGTATGAATGAAGGAAGAGGGAGGTAAGAAAAAATTAACAGTATGATCGGAGTCTGAGAAAGAGTTTGAGGAGGTTAGAAAAGGATCTAATACATATTAAATTAATTAAGAAGGAAAAAAGGAAAAAGCCAAGTTTGAAAAACTGGACGTAGAAACGGTGGAAATGCAAAATTTATAAAGTGTGCGTATTCATTTTTCGTGGGCTTATTAAAGGAAAATTCTAGCTACTGCGGATCAATTTTTGCAACAGTCCAAGTTTTGCACATTCTCCTGAAGCTGATTCGGCTAATATTTACAGTTGTTCAATATGCCGACCATGCAACGACTCTGCGCAATTGATTCAATTCTGGACCGAGAGATGGATTTGAATGGCTTAAATGGATCGAAACTGAAACGCTTACCATTTTCCTTCAATCTTCCTTACTACACAATGTGCCTCAACATGCAACAACCATCCAATTCATGCTATTCGCTTAATATTGACGAGTAAGGGAAATTCTTGTTAGAACTAATATTTACTAAACTCCGGGTGACCTAGTGGTCTGCTTTTATGCCAGCTGCAGCCCATGCGGTACTTACGAGGAGTGGTGTGTCTATGAAGGCAGGAAGCAGAAGCACAGATCTGCAACATCATGCGTTCTGTACCGGATCAGCTAAACATTCTCAACAGTGATCAGCCAAACATTCTTGGGTGTTATACAACGCATTCGAGGGTGGGTTAAAGTAATCTTCACGTTTAGATGGGCGCAGTCGACGAGAAGACAGGCTAGCAATAACACTTCAGATACGTTTGATCATGCGGGCAGATTTGCCAAAAAGAACGTGACGGCACAAGGAGCGATACTCAGCCAAGCATTTGAATTTAGCAGCAGCTGCAACGCGAAAATAAGTATTGTTGCAGAAGAGAACCGAAAATCATCATACAGCATTTCGAGGGCATTTGGTGCCGTTTCAGTGAAAAATTTTTCGTTGATATATATTCCTTTCCAGATCTCCAAAACATTTTCTTTCCTCCACACCAAAAAAAAGCATCGAGTTACGTCATCACCTGCTTAATCTCCTGTCTGCTGAATAAACAGATGCGCGTCCTTCCCGAATAATATCGCTTTTATCAGTAGCAGCCATTCATAAATTCTCTAAGCCGCCTAGCAGACAGCCTTAAAATGATTTAAGTCCTTGTCGTGTCAGGTACACAACTTCCGTTTACCTTCAAACGAGCCTAAGACGAGATAGTGTTGATGCCAGTGATTGGTCTTAACTCCGTACTTGTAAAGTAGACAGAATTGCAAGCTTGCGACAAATTTTATTTTGAAAAAGAGTACGAATTTGGAGAACACGTCACGTATTAAATGCTAAAATCCAAAGAATTAACATTTTTATGACCGAAATATCCGAAACGGATAAATGATTGTTTTGGATATTTTGTTCTCGCTCTTCTTCCCTCTTTGCTGAATTATTTATTAACAAATTTGCTACAGCAACGTTTTCGAAATTCAAAGTTACTGGTTTTGTGAGCTTTTTTTCACTAAAATTGATTTTAAATAAATTGTACTTCAGCATCGAAATGTTCAAATCTCTGATCCTGACGTGTCAGTCGGAAGATCCACCAATTCAGTGCCAGCTACCAATCGCTCAGCAGTTGTCAAGCATGATATTTCAGAGGCGTGATGGGCCAGTAGATCTTGAAAAACCAATTTATATAGCTGTTGTTTTGCCGGTTAGTTAGCCTTTTTTCTCTTGCTGAAAATAGATTTGAGCCTCCACCGCAGCTAAATTTTATTCAAATACGTTGTGGGGTTGGCACTGTTACTGAGGCAACCAGTTGTAATTGTTCATTTGTTTCGACAGTAAAGTGGCTGTTGCATGCTGAGGATCGTTATCGGCTTGTTTCTAAGCCACCCTTGAGAAAAGAAACCATCGACAGTTTTGCTAACAAACTGCTGCTGTTGGTACTTGCTTCTAATCGGACAACTACCGAATCCTCCGTCTTGCGCAAAAGACGATTACGTCGGGGGTTTTTGACTTTTATAGTTGCTAAAAATTGATGCAGACCATCATTATCGTTATCATTTCAAATATACCAAGAGTATTCACACTGTTATTGGTGCTGTTATCATTATTCTGCACATTTTAGGTAACATTATCGCTCGATGGCCGTACAAATCTGCATTTTTATTCAAATCTGCTACAAAGACTTAAAGAAGACTATGACGGAAATGGCCTTCAGCTGGTTGGCGCTCAATTTGGTGTCAAAGACGGCTTATTTGAAGAGAAAATTCGTGGAGACGCTAGGCTTGGGGCGTTGGCTATTCTGCTCGTTGTTGTCATTGTACTAATTTATACCAACAGTTTCTTCTTCACATTTTGCATTGCTGCTGGTTTAATATTATCTATTGGCGTGGCGTTCTTTATTTATACGGTATGTCAATTTTTTTCTCACTGTATGAATTCATTACATGCTACCATCGCATGATGCCAGCTGAGAAGAAACTACCGCTGGAAAGCGACGTTATGTGTATGGTCGGTGACAGCAAATAATAACGTGGGGAAACGGAATCAAAAAAAAGCAGCATTTGGCAAGTGTGCTGGCATAAAGTATTCCTTTTTGATAGACTTCGCAATGTAAATCGGAATGGTTTTGGTTGCAGTGCAGATTTTTGTAACTTACTTGGTACACCAAGGGCAAACGTACTCGACGTATTTCGTCTTACAGTTATGTTCAAAACATAATTAAGTTGAAATATTATGCGCACTGGTGCGTTTAACTACGACTGATTTACTTTAAAATTTGCCTGCTGTGAAACTGAAAAAAATTAGCTGGCGCGCTGCAGCTTCAGCTGAGCGCATAAGTCTCAGGCACTGTTTTGTACTACAGGTCTTTTGGTTAGTAGGCAAAAGACCAGTCGCTACAATATGCCCGCAACAGAAACAAACCCAGGCTGGAACGCACAAGGCTTGCCGGTGCGATCATGCGTTTTTGCACCAAAGTTGAAGCAATCAGTTTGTTAACTGCTTGAGTGATTATTGCTTTACATCTACCTTGTGCGCTCGCTACAGTAAATCATCGTAAATTTTGCACAAAAAAGTTTTCCGTTCAGTCGTTCCTTGGAAATGCCCAAGCTGTTTAGTGAGCAGTTTTTCCGCCAAAACTTTTAAGTGCCCCTACGCAAAAATCACACATATCTGGAGGCTGAATTTGAAATCTTTAAGTTTTACTTGGACAGGAAGCATTCCTCCGAAGTCCCCAGTTAGTATTTTTTCTGCCAAAATTTTCACATGCCCATACGCGACTGCCACGCGTATCTGCGGTTGAATCTGAAATCTCTAAGCTCTACATGGACGTGGGATATCTAATTAAAATTTCAGCTTTCCAGCTTTTTTGGTTGCTGGGTTAGCATATTTCCCGACGAAACTTTCACGTGTCCGCACATGAGAACCACGGCACCTAGGGGCCGAATTCAAAATTTTTAGCTCACACATGCACAAAGAATATCCCTGCACAGTTTCAGTCCTCTATCCTCTTTGGTTTCCGAGATCGCTTTCCCGTCAAAGAATCCGCACATTTTTTTAAGACGGGCCGTACACGGTACCCAGGCGCATGCAGGTGATGATATTAAAGCGGGAGAGTTGCACACGGTGTAGGCACATACTCCCGAACTTTCAGTCTTCTAGCATTTCTGGTTCTCGAGTTGAAAGTGGGTGACAAAAAGTGCGAACAGCTTCTTGCCAATATGCGTTTTTGCATTTGCATGTGCAAAAACGCATAAAAACTAATGCAACTGCAGATTGACAGTTTCACAAAATTCAACTAATTTTACAGAAAATTTGCTGTGTATTTAATCACTTTCTGTCCCTTTGTCTTTCTCTTCTCTGTCAAGCCCTAGTTTACAAAAAAAAGTGCTTCATGAATTCCAGAAGACTGAAGCTCCTGAGTATTATTCTTTGGTCCAAAATCCGCAAACTGCTCACGCGTTGTTCAAAACATGCACTAAATTAATTTGTGAAATGTGGACATTTCAGATTGTTTTTGGGGTCAAATTTTTCCCGTTTTTAAATTTGCTTGCGATGATACTTGTTGTTGCTGTTGGAGCTGACGATGCCTTCCTCTTCATGTACCAGTACAGAAAGCACAAAAAAGTACTGAATTATATTCTTTTTGCATGGTATATTCGATTCACCAGTGCTTATTTCATCTAAATCGCTCTTTTTAAAAAGGTGACTCGATGACACTGCTTTCGCAGCCGCCAGTTGATTAGGTTGCTTGTGGTTCTATTTTTCGACTACTGTTTCGGTATATATCAAAATGAATTTTTAGCCCAAGTGGTTTAGCAGTTTGCGCTACCTTAAACATTAAAATGGAGGCTAGAATTCTGCTTCCATAGTGGGCTTCTAATGACTGTTCCAACCCAATAAACATGGTTCTTTATAGATTATATTATCTGTATTTGGTTTGTTTTGGTTTCTAAGAATGAGTTACAGCTGCTTTAAGTATTCGAGTGTTGCCCATGTTTTCCGTCTTGTATGACTCGATGTTGTTTTTAGGATGCGAGTGAGAAGTGGTCACCACTTTCCAGTAATGACATTTGTAAAACGCTGGATAAAAATTCGGATAAGGAGGAGGTAAGTGTTGATGAAATAATGCAGGCTTCAGTGAATGAATGAATCATCGGTTAGCTAATTCGGCTTAAATCTTTCATCAGCGCTGGTGATCTGATCTTCAGCGCTTCTATTAATCGAATAATTTACACTGGTAACCAAAGCGCGCATGAGCACTGTTTTTCCAAAGAAGCGACTACACACTTCAACAGCTCGCAACTCCAAAAGGAATTCATGGAAGTATAATGCTTGGAATAACTCCTTCATCTTTTTTTGACTGCGATTTTGTTAGGTTTTTTACATAATAGGAAAAATGATGCCAAAATAAAACAAGTTGTACCTTACTCAAAATTATGAGGAAAGGTTAAAGAAATCGATCATCTGCTTGCGAAAATTTTTGAAGAATTTTAACAGACTCATTTGGTGATTTTCTGGAAATAAGACATTAGAGAAAGCTTCAATTATAAAGGCTTCATTAGTGGAAAATTCGCTAGTCATATGATGAGCATAAATATAACAAATAACCTAGTTAGCAACGCACCTGTCTTGCCAATACCATCAGCTTTTTTGAGCGGTAAGATCATTGGCAATATAAATATTTAATGTTTTACAGCTTGGTATTTGCACTTGTGCTGGCAATGTTTTTGCCCTTTTAAGTATGTACGGGGAAAGAGGACATCAGAGGCTGTGTGAAATCTTAGCCTGTAGCGTGCATGATTATCGTAATTTTTGCACGAGGAAAAATAAATAATTTTTGGTTACAGAACGTTCTCTGAAGATGCAAATTATACAATAAATCCCCGCAGAGATGACTGGTCAGATTCTAATTGAGTAATTTTCAGTCTGCTGGGATTTTTGAGTACAATGCCTGTCTGACCTAATTTCGCAGTCATCTAATGATCCAGCAAATTCATAAGTTTCTATCCTGACGACTGCTTGAATTTCAGTTACTGGAGTATCATCGACGTCGGGTGGTGTCAGCTCTCAGCGATGCACTATCACATGCTGCAGTTGCAATGTTCGTTACATCAGCCACCACTGCCGTGGCATTCTTCGCTAATGTGGTGTCTAAAATTATGGTTCTCAGGTATAGTGTTTTAATCAGTTCACACCGAAGTGGCTCATTTATCTAGCAGAGCCCAGTTATCGAATTTCATTTCATTCTAGAACTACGAAGTGTGTCTTTTTACCACCAACACCAGACCAGTCTCTGGCAAAACCGGTGATATTTGTTTTGTCTGATAATTGCTTGCAAGAATTTTAACTGGGTCCGACGTGACAAAAAATTCTTATTAAAATGACTTATAAAAGGCAAAAAGGACCTTTTTTCTTGATGGCGGCATAGAAGAGCACAAAAATGATTTTACACACTACCTCACCACCATGATGACCAGCAAAAGAATAAATAGGTTTTTTGAAGTAACAAAGTCGAATAAATAGTGGCGGGCGTCTGGTGCGATCATGTGTTTTGCGGAATCCCGACCAGCAGACGTTTGTCTGCTAAGGATTTTCACTGTTCTATACTTTCATGTGTGGAAAAATAGTCGATATGCTGACTGGCTTCTATGCTGATGAATTTTCCACCAAAGATTTGAAGTGCCAGTATATAAAAACAAAATTTGAAACCTTGGACAGGGTACATCCTCCTAAATTTCAACCTCCCAGTTTTCCCGTGTCCGAGCTATTGAATTCGCATTGAAACTCCCATCTGGCCGTATGTAAGACCTCGGCAAACTTGGGACCTAGATTTGAGTTTCCGAGGTGTCTGCGCAGGCACAAAACATCCTTCTGAAATTTCAGCCTCACGGCTGTTCTGGTTCCTGTGATAATAATTTCCTCCACCAAAACATTCGCAGGGCCGCACAAGAAACCAGGTGTACATGAAAGCTGCATTTGATTCTGCAAAGTAGCATTTTCCCAAAATTTCAGCTTCCTATTTTTATTATGGCTTTCGAGGTAGCAATTTTTTCCACCGAAACTTTCATGGGGACATATTTGAGATCCGGGCTTCACTGAGAACTGGGTTTGAATTTATGGGGACGCATGAGGGCAGGAAACATTCTCGTTAAATTTTAGCTTCCTTAGTCCATGGTTCCCAGAACAATTTTCCCATCAAACCCCCTTCTCCCCTACTCCCTTCGGTACCATATGTGATATTCAAGCGCACGGAAAAGCCGAATTTAAATTTTCTGGGTCCCACGTGGGCCAGGGATATAGCCATAAAACTTCGACTTCCTAGTTTCCATGGTTCCCGAGATAATAATTTTCCCCGCCAAAAAATCTCACAGGACCGTACGTATTATGTGGGCAGGAAACAATCCCCTAAAACCTCAGCCGCCTAGCTTTTGTGATTTTCGAGTTAAAAGTACGGGACAAAACGCACTCGGACACACACACACAATCCCGTGACAATATGCGTTTTGTGTTGCTGCTGCACAGCACAAAAAGCATAAAAATCAGAATGAGCTTCACAAGTGAGATATTGTTCCGTCGGGCACTTTAGAATCATTTCTTCCTGCTTGTGCTTTCCAAATTGCTTTCCAAATTTCTTATTTTTCTCTTTTTCAATTAAATGACAAAATAGAAAAGTGGTGGGAGAAGGGGGAGGCCAAAGGAGGCGTAAAATGAAAAGCAGCATCGTTTGCAACGAATCGGACACAATGAATGCGAAGTAAATCCATCAGTCACAACAAATAGCTCCGCATACCAAATATGAGTAAGGCGTACCAAAACAGAAACTGTATGTCAAACTTGACTAATGGACTGTTCTTTGTCACTCGCTTCTCTATAAATTTGGTTCGGAAATACCAGCAATTTGGCTCCATTGAAGCTCATTCACACGAGCCGACACATTAGCTTTACTGACGACAATCTGAACCACTAATGCGTCAGTTCACGTGGATTCCACATCTCAAAGTTGAGTTATTAAGCTTTTATCGAATGAATGCAACACAAAAATCATTAGCGACGCGCACTGGGGGCCCGTCCGATCATGCGTTTTTGCAGTGTTTCGTGCTACTCGAAATTCCGCTAGCTAGAAACCTCTTGTACACACTTGTCCTCGTATTTCGGGAACTTAATTATCCACGCTATAGTTGGACAGGGAACATTCCCTTTAAATCCCAGGTTCCCAGCTTTCTCAGTTCCCGAGGTACGCAAATTGCAGCCAAAAAATTTCACGGGGCTGTGCGTAGCCACCAAGCATAACGGGTGCGGGGGAGGGCGGGGGGGGGGGACTGAATTTGATAAATTGAAGTTGTAGATGAGTTGGGAACATTTCCAGAAAATTTTAGCCTCCCAGTTTCCCTGGTTCTGAAGTTATTCATTTTCCCGCCAAAAATTTTCACGGGGCCGTACGTGGCAACCACGTATGGCGGGGGGCTGAATTTGATAAATTGAAGTTGTAGGTGAGTTGGGAACATTTTCTGAAACTTTCAGCCTTCCAGCTTTTTTGGTTCTCGAGCTAGTGATTTTCGCGCCAGGAACCCTCAGGGGGCCGTACGCGGGAACCACGAACCCCCGGGG